GGGAAACGCCCCAGTCGGGGAGTACCTTCTTGGTAGTGGTGGGTTCTGAGGTCAGGATGAGTCATTGGAAACTCTAGGTACAATAGTAATGGTATGTAATGGTCATCATTAGTCCTCATGAAAAGTTCCACCCGATGCCTGTTCTTGTGAGGTGCAGCCGGCACTCCAATGCATCAATTGCTCACAGATGTTGACTTAAACATCACCCGGCCCGTAACACAGATAATAAACCGTTGATGAATCAAACCCCCCATATGGAGATGTAAAACGAGTCTGACAGGGATTCTTTATTCATTGAGAATCGTCAACTACATTGCACGTTGGACCTGGTTTTCCAAAGCACGCTTCAAGTGTCCATCGTTTCATCCGTTTACCTTTCGGCCGAAGCACGGTTGGCTTCACATCCGCCGCCACCCGCTGTTTCTTGGCCTCAGCTGCGGGACATGGTGGCGCAGGTGGGTTCTGGAGCTGGACCAGGCGAGTAGAGTCCGGTTGAAATGCCCGGCATTCTGCCCCTGGGATGCAGTGAAGTCATGGACAAATCTTCTCAAGAACCGCAAAGCATTGGATCCAAATACCAACTCGATCCATGGAATGGCAATATGAGTTCTGGGGCTCTACCATCCACAAGACTCATGGTCATGTTCCACAAGACTCATCTGTGTCAAATGTCCTTTGTGCGGACCCGCATTGGCCCCACTGGACAGATGTTTTCAGTACTGTCGTAGATTTCTCAAGGAAATGTCGGCCAAAAGCGAAGAGTTTGTCCAACTGAGTCAGGCATGGGAACCGGTTTGTGGGTTTGGCACTTCGCCCCAACCCAGCCACTGTGTAAAAAGTAAATATGATCCAAAAATCGAGCAACTTGAAGTTCTACGCCATCCATCCACTCATGGAACCCAACCCCATTTCTTCCATCAGTCTGGTGGATCCAGCTGTTGAGGCGCCGCCGTGACCCGCGTTTCTTCGTTCCCACCGGCGCCGTGACCCCCGGTGGTTTCGCTTCCGCTGGGTTCCCCGACCACCTGTTGCGCGGACGCTTTCTCTTTGAGCGCCTCTCCACGGTGCAACAGCACGGCACAGCAGGTGATTTCCTGAGGCCGGAGATGAATTTGGCCGTCAAACGAGTTCATGACACCATGGCCATGGAGAAAACGATGGCAGGTGCGGAAGACCTGGGGGAAGGCTGACATCGTGAAAGTCCTACGCAATGCTTGATCAGCTGCTTGTAACTGCAGTTGTCGTGCTTTAGTGTGGGAGAGTGTTTTTTGGGTTGTTTTATGTTGTTCTTTTTTTGTTCGGATGTTTCTTTCATGCCAAGCAGCATTCTCTTCACGCTCTGACTGGACCCAGCAAGCCTGCGGGGCGGGTTCGTCTTTTACTCGGCAAGTCACAAGGGATCCTCCGAAATTCCTCAGTTTTTCAATAGGAAGACCACCTGGCCCTGGCTGGGTAGACTGGTCTATTTTCCAAACCGGAACCGGGGGGAGGTCTTCCTCAATGCACACCCATTTTCGGCTCTCCACTTTTTCCCTCCCTTGTCCCTTGATCAGAATCCCTCCACACCTATCTCACACCTTCGGCCACACCTGGACCTGTCTCCCACGACTCTTTCCATCTCTCGGTCGTTCGTCTCTCCCCACGTCCGGTCGAAGCCTTGTCAGAGGTCTTCTGCACTTGTCGGCTTTTCGCCTCCATCGACCCGCAAGGTCGTCTGCCCAAACCGACGCAAGAAGCGAAGCACGAGCGCAAGGAGGGTCCATCAGGGAACAATCGAAAGAAGCAAGGGGTCAATCCAACAACAGGCCGCCCAACAACTTCAATCCACACACCCGCTAGTCTTTTTCTGTTCTGAGAGAGAAGAAAGAGTCGACCTCCCAACCTGTTTCATCCATGCAATCCATACCATCAGTTCATGAAAATTCAGGTCTAGGAGCATGCTAGCAACTCCTGACATGCTTGGGCTGGCGCCAATTCAGCTCATATCAGTTCATCCGATCCGACGTCAAGCACCACCTCCCACTCCCTCACCTTGGCCCCTACGGCGCTGCTCACTGCCAGGGCATCTCCAGCATCGCAGCTACCGACGGCGGCTTGCAGCTCGGTCAAGGTGGTACCTGGCATGCCATGAAGAAGAGATGTCTTTCTCCCAGGCAGAAAAAGGGAGATGTTTTGCTAGTTAGGTATTAAGATGTATTAAGTACAGTATATGTATGTTCCTGTTTTTCGAGCGGACGAGGAAATCGATTCAGTGGATCGCTGATCGTGTCTTTTTCGTCCGATGAAGGAACTTCAGCTCTCGTCCGAAATCTGAGAAAGGCTGCCTTACAGGGGGAGTCTGAAGAGCCGGATGGTCTAGCGAGCGGAATGAAGGGACCCACGAAAATGCCAAATGTCTGTTTTCAGTGTTTGGAATCGATTCGAACGATGAACTGAACGCCCCGAGGGAGGTTGAACATGTTTGAATTACTTCAAGCCTCGGGTGGTTCCAATACATTCCCACTTACAGGCAGCCGGCTGAACGCTCTCCGCTCTGTGCTCGGCATCTGGGCCGAGCCCACGCAGACAGCGGTGGACTGGTGACGGAGCAGTCCGCTGGACCCATCAGCCGCGCCTCGCAATAAGCTGGCGCTGCCAAGGATTAGACAGTCATGATGCTGTTCAGAGAGTTGAAGAACCTGCGCGAAGCTGGCAGCTGGCAGAATCTTGCTTGGGATCAACATCGGATGTCTGCGTGAGCTTTTGACGATGCAACCCTGCTGCGAAATGTTGAAAGAGGCTAAGAAGGTTTGGGACTTACGATCCAATCAATGGTTCTGTTCGCGATTCCCAAGCGATTCCTCTGTGGGATGAGCAGAAATCTTCGCTCAATTCTGTGGACCCATGGCGGCTGCTGAATCGATGATTCTTGCTGAACCGGCCTTCGCTCGATAAAAGCGAATCTACGGTCCGCATCTTCAGTCCCCTGCCAGGACAAATAGCTTCCGGCCTTCGTTTCCAAGAAGTCCGGGCCCTTTTCGGGGAGAAGAAGAGCCATAGCTGGAGGACAAAACCGCAAATGAGGCGCTCCTGAAAGCCCCAGTTGCTTTGAGGGGTGTTCTTAATTCGAGATCAACACCCATCTACGGCTGTGGTCCAAACCCGCGGACCGACCGGTTGGACCACGGCTCCTATGAACAGACTATACCGACTACTGGTAGTCTGGTCAAGCTACAAACGCTTTGGGGTTCCTGGTTTTGCCCCAGAGCCCAGCTCGTTTGAAAAAGGATCTGGAGTGGGCCAGCATATGAACGCAACGCTCTTATGCAATCGCAATCATTTCAAAGTCACACTATATCATATTTTAATCATACAGAAGATGGTCGGATGATCCTTGTATCACATCTGCTTCTGCACTTCATATAGAAGACTCCAACCCGGGTGCCCCCCTATCCCCCACCGTTGGTGCTCCAACCTCTCTCCGAGCTGCCGCGCCTTCACGTCCTCGCTGCCGAGCTGCGCCGCGGTGTCTCGGCCCTGCCAGGCATGGGACAAGCTCTGATGTTTGGCATGAACACATGTTTGGTCCTGGAAATGGCAAAGAACATCCTAACAACTATAAAACTCCAGCAGTCTCAGAAGCTCCATTCATCTCCATTCACCACTTCTCTTCAGTTCCGACCGTGAAAACACCTGCGACTCCCCGTTCGACCTCCCCGTTCGACCTCCTGCGACTCCCCGTTCGACCTCCCCGTTCGACCTCCGGTCGCACCGGTCCGAATCGACGCGGTGATCCTCGACCGGGCGCGGTTCGGCTCCAGTCGACCCGCCTTCACTTGTCCACTGAGTTGCGCATGCAAGAACTGACCGCCTGGCGGTTCCGCGGTGCGTTCGCGGTGCGTTCGCCGAGCCGAGCCGAAGCTCAGTCCGCGCAGGAAGTGCTGGGAGTGGTGCTGGGAGTGGTGCTGGGAGCTGAATGTCAACGAGAGATCTCGTGACTGACCTAGAAGAAGAGTTGAATCAATTTGATTATTAAGGTCAAAAGACAGAAAGAAGGGGCTGATTTTGAATATCTGAGGGTCTTTGAGAAGCTCTTCACTGTAAGACCCCCAAAAAAAGGAACAGGACTCGACCCCAAAACAAATCATAGAGTAACAAACCAACCCGTAACGGAACCACCCCTTCGTTTTTGAACACCTTTCATCCCTTCAGACCTCGACTTTCGCTCACGTTTCGCTCGGAGGGGTCGTTTCGCTCCGCAGGAGAGCGAAACGTGTGGTTGAATAGAGTTGAAGGTGCGCAGCCGCTGCGACCTGAAAATGTGTCCCGGAACTTGTCCTGCCCACAAATGGCCCCCAAAAACGCGGAGGGTTCGCCTCCACCATGAGTTCGACGTATATATGCGTTCTTTAGGCTGAGAACTTCAAATTGCCCTGCAGCCAAGTAGACCACACACTGGCGCCACCGCTGGGCGATCACCGTGCCTGTGGCTCCCAGCTTGGGTGCAGCGGCGCCTGAGGACGAAAAAACCGGGGAATGGAGGAACTGGCCTGAAGATCCAACTGGAGCACCAAAACCAAATTGAATGCGCTCTTGGATGCTTGAATGGCATCTTGGTGCAAACGCTTGTTCTCCACAAGGTTTTGTTGGGGCATGGGGCAAGTGGAATGGAGGTTTCCATGCGTGTGACGAGATGTTGACTCCTGGCAAAAACCTGTCAAGTTTCTCTTCACAAAAGTCTATCTGGATCCGTTTGAGATGTCTCAAAACGCGAGGGATCCTGCACCAGGTCTTTGTTTCCTTGTCCCATTAGTAGAGTGTCCTCCTGTTGCGAAACCTCTATTTTTGAACAGTTGGCTCGCAACTGCCTAAGGAACAAGGAATACGCTGAGGAAAAGAAGATGAGAACAACCCAGATGCACAATCTGACTGGTGCTTAGTAGGGAATGAGGGAATCTATAGATTTCCAAAAATCCATCTGACTCACTCCCCACAAAGTACCACTCAGACATGAAACCTCTTCATCCACCAAACCACACCCCACAGCCATAGTCCTCAGACGTTCGCTGCTTCGTCTGTTCGCTCGCTTCGTCCGCGCCTGCGTCACCGAGGTTCCGCTTCACACGTGCGACCAGCTGCACCGGCGGTCGCCGCACTGGTTCGGTCCGGTCCCCGGTCGAACCGCAGGTCGAGGATGAAATGTGGTGGGTACCGGTACCTGATGAAATATGTACCTGTATGAAACATGAAATATGTACTAATCATGTGGTGGGAATATGATGAAACATGATGAAATATTGAAAAAAAAATGGTTGGGTATATATGATTCCCTGGGCGCAGTGGATGATGATGGGGCCTGGTTGCAGGCCGCATCTCCAAAAGAGTGATAAGTGTTTACCGACGGCTCTACAGGTACTGGGACACACCCAAGAAATATGACATGTGTATACATATGTCACAATCATTGGATTCATGAGTCTCTGAAATGGCGGATTGGGCTCTGAATTAAAAGATGGGTGAGGATGGGCTCTGCTGCATCAGATCCCCCGGCAACGGATGAATTGCTCTAGTCGAACGTGGATTTGCCATGGGACAAGGAATGTTGAAAAAGTTGCGAGCGTTCTTCATGGACATGGAGATTTGGAACAGACTCATACTCACCAACTCACCATGCCAATTCCACATGGCAGTGGCAATGTTTTACAGTCTTCCAGGTGTCCGAGCTGCATGCCCGAACACTAAAAAACCTCACCATGAAAATACTCCGTACTCGCATCTATCCCAACGGAAACTCACAACCAAAAGGACTCCCAACCTGGCTTTCGTCCACGCGATTTCGCGTCGCTTTCCGAGTCGAAGCTTCGAAGCGATTCCGTTGCTTGGCGCGCCTGCGTCCGCCAGCGTTGCAGGGCCTGGCTCTCTACCAGTGAAGCGCGGAGACTGCCGAGTGGTGAATCCAAGGGCCAAGGGCGGAGATCCACGACCTTCAACCCTTGTGTTCATTTATGGAGATGACATCATCATGACACAGATCAAGTCAGTTGGGGGTAATCTGGAGCGCTTTTTGTCCAGAGTGAAACAGGTAACAAACAGGAGACATCTTGATAGTGCCAAGATAGGATTAATCCACCCCCCCGGTCAACAAGGTCGACAAGGTCTGAGATTGGAGGTATTGGAGGTATTGGAGACCTGTCCTGCCAAAGCACTGTGTTTTGAAGGGCACATCCCCTTAATAAAGATGATGGATTGGGATGATGAGATGATGAGATGACAAGATTAGGAAAGATTGGGATTGGGATGGTTGGGATGATTAGGAAAAGAAAGAGGATTGCAGGATGAAAGAGATTGAAAACAAGATGGAGGCCAGAGGATGGCCCCTACTATTAGAGGGTGGTAGGCCCTGTGTGAGAGGTCCCTTTGTGAGCTTGAAAACCTTAAGATTTTGATAGAGTTTGAATAAGAGAAAATGAAGGAATTGTGCTAGCGACTTGTTTGGTTTTTAACAGGGAAGGATGAGAAGAAAAAGCAGGATGAGAAGCAGAAGGATGATGATAATGATGGATGAGAATGAAGCAGAAGAAGGATGAGAAGCAGTGGACCAGAAGATATTGAAATTCTAAAAGATAAAAATAAAATATAAAGCAATAATTATACAATAGTAAACCATATTCTAATTGTTTCTGGGGCAGCTGGGCTTGATTAATAAGGGGGGGTTCCTTAATCCTATGTGTGCCTTACCCTTTGAAATGGGTCTCTCCGTTCACAACAGACAGACCGTTCCACTCTCCGTTCGACTTCCCACTTCCGAAGATCCGGTTTCTCTGACGATGGGGGGAAGATGGGAAGTGTTGCCGGATGATGCTTTGGAAGGAGCCTGTCATTCTCCGGTTAGAGGTGCCGAAACGCGCCGGTAGAGGTGCTGAAACTGACCGAAAGAAGGCCATGTTGCACAGCAGCATCTGGCCACTGTGTTGCAAGCAATGTTCTGGCCACTCTAGGCCTAGGCTAACTTTGTTCGCCCTTGGCTCAGACCCGAGTGCCATCTTGTCCTCCACAGGTCCTCACCGGATCCGCCTTGGCAGCTGGCAGCCGACGCGGTGCCAACCACCCCCACCAGCAGCCGCTCCCCGCAAAGCAAGGCCGCCGCCTGTGGCGCTGGTGGGGTCACAACGCCGATGCGACGGGGCAGTTGCCGGTGACGGCCTGTTATATCTCTGGGTGTGGATGAGAACTTCCTTTGCCAGGTATATACATATATATATATTATATTATATTATGTATGTATGTATGTATGAATCTATTCTGTCGCAAAAACTGTCTTTGGGGTCCTACTCATTCAGCGGTTCTTGTAATAGCAACCTACAGAGTCGCTGGGCCATGCCGACTGCTTACTCATCTACACGGGGTTGTCAGAAACTACTGCAAAAATCTGATTGCAAACTCTTGAGTGTCCTATTCCTCTTCCTTCCCCTCCTGCTCCTCCTACTGCTCCTGCTCCTACTGCTCCTACTGCTCCTCCTCCTCACTACCATTGACTGCTGTCCTGAGCCACCTAGAAACTTCATTTAATCTCAAGGTGTTCTTCCTGATGCTGAAGAGCAAAACCTCTGTATACTAGAAATGGTTACGAAAAAAATGCCCAACACTTTGAGTTGGGTCCCGAACTAGAATGCAATGCCCTCCCTCTCACCCTCCGACCAACAGCCGCGCCGCGGAACAGCCACGCTGCCCCGGTAGTTTCTCCTGTTGGGATGGGCATGGGGAGCAAATGAGAGCAGAACGTCAGTGGAGAAGATATCCCTCTGTCACTCTCTGATGAGCACGTTGACAAAGCTGCCACGCACACAAAAAAGACAACCGTAAAGTGGAGGTTCTTACTCTGGTAGAACACACTCGGTCACTAGGTTTGTGTCACCCTGGTGTATTGTTTGTAAGTTCGCATCTCGCATCTCAGGTGTTTCTCCCGGATCACTTAGCATGTCCAACAGGAAATAGATCGCACACCACCGCGCTGCCCGCGTTTCGAACGACGTCTCCGGCCCCGGTTCCTCTGATATTCCCGGGACCGCTGGACACCGTCAGGCCAGTGGGACCCTGCTCTGGATTCGCTTTACGAAACCCCTCCCGAGCGACGAACTCAGCGACGAACTCTCCTTTGCTTCGGTTCAGCGAAGGACCGGAAACAGCTTCTATAGGTAGAAGCCTTGAACTTGCTCATCAAAACACCCCTTCGGCCACACAAGGGGGACCTGCAGGGTGGACTGCATTCAGTGCGCCCATGCCGGTACCCGCGCAGTACACCTCATTCCTCCCACGTACCCGCCCTCTGACCACGAATTCAAGCGCTGTTGCACACGTGAAAAAACCCATCTGAAACGTGTAAAATAAATGACTTGACTTGAATAAACCAGCACCTTCAAGGGGGTCACCAACGGAAGCCCCTACACTACTTAGGGATCTCCATTGGACACCCCTTGAAGGTCCAGGTAGTTGTATCTTATAACTGATCCTTCAAATGTCTCCCCAGTGCCCCCGCTGCCTGTACTTCCACATCCAGGGACACCAAGGCACCCCGAAGGCTGCGCTTTAGCTGGGTCTCATTGACCTTCCCGCGCGCGAATTCTTCTTCGGTCCCATATAGACCTTGTTTGTCTCTCATCTTTTCCCCTTCCTTTCCTTGGCTGTCCAGGCCCGGTCCTTTGCGTTTCGGGTTTAACCTTCAGTGGTTTTGCTCCCTTCTAAAAAGACTGAGGGTGGGTCAAGTTTCCTATCCTCTTCCTTCACCTCCGTTCCCTTCCCACCCCGTCTTCTCATCTCTGCCCTTTCTCTGGTATGCGCTCCACTTGCTGTGTGCGGGAAAGAGCTATACTTTAAGGTTCAAACGAATTGTGGACACAGCAACTGGAAAAAGAAGACAACAACCGCAACAAAAAGCAACAGCGGTTTCTGAACAAACATTATAAATTTGAAACCAAAGTAGATGCCCGTGTCTATTCCTACCACTTTCAAAGCATATGCTTTCTGCTGGCCACATCATATCCCAGTTCTCGGTTCCTCGTTGGTTTGGGAAACATCACTGGCCAGGGGGAAGTGTTGGAAGCCTCTGAGGCCAGCCGCAGGTCTTGGTCTTGGAGGCCTTGGGATTCCTTGAGACTGAAGCAAAGGCTCTGGTGTTGAGAGGTTGAGTGATAAGGATCAAAAGACTCGACTCATTACATCTCACTAACCTCTTGAATCCAATCCATCAGAGGCGATTGTGGAGGAGTGACCCCGTCTATGCCATAGACGGGAACAAACAGTGACCGTGGAGATCGTGATCGTGGTTCTGACGAACGTGGATCACTCCAGTCGAACCACGATCTCCACGGTCGAAAGTGTGGCTTCGAGAAGTTCTCCGATGACCCTGAGTTTTAGAACCTGCAGAAACGCCTTCCCCTCCATTCCGAGGATCTCTTCCGCGCCTTCCCCTCAACTTTGGAGAGGTGTCGCAGCAACTGGATGTGCATGTTCCTTGGGGTACCGCACCAGGCACGTGCCTCCCCTTTTTGTGGACAAAACGTGAAAAAAAGGAAACGACTGAGTTCCATCACCTGGTGTTGCCCCAAGGGCGAAGCTATCGGAAGCTATCTGAAGCTGCTAGCATACCCACAGAACAGGCGAAGATGTCCAAGTGTTCGCAGGTGGCGCGTTTTTAATTCAGGCAGCATTGAGTATAGTATAAGCATTGGCATAGGACCTTGATGGCCAGTATCCAGCAAACATATACAGGAGACCTTTGTGTGAGCCGCTCGGCATCAGTGGAATCGTTGGTTTTCTTTGGCGCCCCGTGTCTTTTCGAAGGACCTTCTAGGTCATCGGAACAAGACATCACCATCATCCTCATGTAAAGAGTCCGACCCTCCACTAATGAGCGACCCAATCTCCGGTCCGAACACACGAGGCGGGACATGAGGGGATGGAGAGGCCTTGGAGAGGTCCACCTCCAAAAACATCCCTTCCAGCAGTCTGAACCAACCAGGCAGGGTGATATGGCCCCATGGTAACACCCAGGGACTGAAGCATGAGAGCTACAAACGCCAGCATGCTGTTCGTTCCAAGCTTGCACACTCCAACATGACATGTTGTTCAGGGAAATACACCAAGAAAAAGGAACAAACATCGCATCTTCCAAACATGGTCGCCAATACAGGACACCTTCCTCGGTCTTTCTACACTTTTGTCGACCTCTTCCTCGGTGCCATCCGCTTTCTGGGACCAGGTGGCTTGGCACAATGCTCGGCGGCTAACGGCTCGCCCTGATTCGAGGACTCAGCTGGAAAGAGTGGATTCTTAGAGACTTTAGAAGCAACATGTGCGTGTGTGTGTGTATGTATATATATATATATGCAAAATAGGTGTGTGTACATATATATATATAGTAACCAGGTATGTATACATATATATATATATACTGAGTCTATCCTATTGCCTGTAACAGTGGATGATGATGGTTAGTAGAGGCCTTGTCCAAAAGTAGTGATAATTGTTTACTGACTGTTACAGGTATTAGGACAGACCCAACTCATATATATATATATTGTACACTTCTTCCTGTGCTCTTCTGCCCCAGCGCCTATCACTCA